GAGCCAAGACAGTATACATACAATACCTTTGTCCAGAAAAGGCACATGTTCCTAGTTCTTTGGGAAACATATTTATGTTGTCAGGGTGTTTGTCTTATATGGTACAGCAGTTTAGAAAAAGAATTAAACAGGCAGATGTGTTAGGATGCAGCTTACTGCACAGTCTAGGTAAACTGTATTGGAGTATATCTGAGTTTACCTTATCAATTTAAATGGAAAGTTAATGGGCTTAAATTTAAATATTTGACATTTGATGTGATGTAGTGGTTTGTGGTGGTGAAAGAGTGGTTTAGTTCAGAAATAATGATACTTCATCTTGTGACTCAGTTGCAAAATAACTCATACCATCATTCTGTCTCCATTTTATGACATCTGGTAGTTTTTTTTAAAGCACCACTCAGCTTTTCTGACTGTTAAGAAACGTCTAAGGAAATTAGCCCACGACCTAATAAATATATCTGATTCCTTAACAATAATGTATTTGACTAGACTTCAGTAGGATATTGAAGATAATAACATTTATACTATTCTGACAGCTGCTTCAGGGTCAAGTTACAAGTAGCATGTCATTATATGCCAGAATTTCTAAAGTGTTGAAAGACACTTGCTTTTCACACCATGAGTTTTTTTCACAGCTTCTATGGTTATCAAGTTTGTTTACTTTGTTTTATGCTTGTTCACTGGGAAATAAGCTCACACTCTATACAGATTGTTCAAAGGTGAGGCTGAGGAGCCTGACACCGAGGGAGGCCCAGAAGGAAAAAATAAAACAACGGGCCTTCTCGGTGGTAGCGCCTCGCCTCTGGAACAACACTCCTCCAGAGATTCATGCGGCCCCTTCGCTGGGTATTTTAAAAAACCAATTATAAAGCAGGCCTTCCCTCCAGTTAATTCTTAACTTTCCTCTATTTATTTTGTTATTTCCTTTCCATCTTGAAGAACTTGTTTATTGATGTAAAATTCTTTCCCCCCCTTTTTTGTTATACTTATATGTTGTTTTTATCTGTTTGGAAGCTGCCTAGAGTGGTCGCAAGACCAGATAAGCTAAGCTGAAATGAGTGGGTGATATCTCACTGTGCCTTCTCAAAGTAAAGTCAGTCTATGAGTGGTCTTAACTGACCAGATAGGCAGGATAATTAATTAATAAATAAATAAATAAATAAATAAATAAATAAATAAATAAATAAATAAATAAATAAATAAATAAATAAATAAATAAATAAGAAGTTCTCCAAGAATCATCATTCTGAACTTTAAAGTGACTTAGGGGCTTTCCCCTCACAAACAGCTCCTGTGACCTCACTGCCAGCCAATTGACTCTGAATCAGTGCCACCAACAGGAAGAGCAGACACAGCAGGGCAGAGTGTGCTTCAGAATGCTGGGCATCGCAATGTCACAGCATGTAGGTAAAGTGGGCCAGTATAAAAACTAGAGCTGTCCCTTGGCTCTCTGTGTTTGGCAGCTTTACTCAGCTGACCCATCCACCTCTCTTTTCCTGCTCAATGCAGACTTCAGTTGGTTGCTTCACAACCATATAGAAATGTTTCCTTTCAGGCTGAAATCGTGATTTAGATGGAGGTGTGTTTTTGCCTGTGTTGTATTGAGCCATGCGAGGAATTAAGGGGATTGGTTTATATGACACTGCTTGTTAAATGGATGGTAGCCATGGCAGGTTAGTGTTCTTAACCCTGCCTTTTAGTAATTACGGGCAGGGGGAGATATGGTGTGGCCATTGTTTATAAGGACATATTTGGGGGTGCTAGGCTCTCTGCAGTGGCAAGCCTGGGTCTAGAGGCTATGTGTTGTTTGGGGTCAGGGGTGGCTTTGGGACTGTGCTGGCATACCGCACTCCCTGCAGTCCAGTGCAGTCCCTGCCGGAGCTGGCGGATTTCATCTCCGCAGCACTGTTGAGGTCCCCCAGACTATTGGTTCTGGGGGATTTCAACACACACGTGGAGGCTGAGGTTTCCGGTCCAGCTCAAGAGTTCCTGGAAACCATGGCTTCCTTGGACTTGACCCAGCAAGTTAGTGGTCCTATCCATGTGGGTGGCCACATGCTGGATCTGTTCTCTGCTGCTGACCAGAGAGTGTGTGATCCGATATTGGCCCCCTTGGCATGGTTTGATCACCACCTAATTAAATGCAGCCTCACAGTGGCACTTCCCTCCCACAGGGAGCTTGGACCCATTAAGATGGTCCGCCCCTGCAGGTTACTGGATCCTGTTGGATTCCAAGATATCATGTGGGAGATTCTGGCTGAGTTGGTTGGCGCTCCTGTCAATACTCTGGTGGATGGCTGGTATACTGCCACCACCAGGCCGGTCAACACGATTGCACCTAAACGCCCTCTCTGCCATCGAGCCCGGCCAGCCCCCTGGTTTCATTAGCAGCGGAGGGCAATGAAGCGTAATTGGAGAAGGTTAGAGAGCATTTGGGAAAGGGCCCTGACAAAAATTAATTTAAAAGCCACCAGGATCGCATCTAACCTTTACCTAGCTAGGATAAAGGTTGCTAGAAGATCATTCTTCGCTGACTGGACAAGCAACGCTCACAACCAGCAGGTGGAACTTTTCCATATAGTGTGCAATCTATCTGGTGTTGGCCACAGTGATAGGCCTCCCACTAGTATTTCCTGTAACCAATTTACGGCATTTAAAAAAAATGTAAAGTGGAGGCCATCCGCCGGGACATTCATCCCTTTTTACAGACAGTAGATCGAGTTGAGATGTCCAATGCATCATCTTGTCCAGAGAAGTTAACCTGCTTTCAACTTGTGATGTCCAATGAGGTGGACAGGGTGCTTGTGCGCTGTGGTGCCACCACCTCCTCCTTAGACCCTTGCCCGGCTTGGCTCATCAAAGCAGCCACGCCAGTAACAACAGAATGGGCCACTACAATAATTAATGGGTCTCTCCAGGAGGGCATGGTTCCACCTGCCCTCAAGAAGACACTCATTAGGCCCATTCGAAAGAAACCTAATTTGGCTGCGGACAAAATTGGTAATTATAAGCCCGTCGCCAATGTTTCTTTCTTGAGTAAAGTGGTCGAGAGGGTGGTGGCTGATCAGGTTCAGGCACTCCTGGAGGAAACTGACACCCTTGATCTGTTCCAATCGTACTTCATGTTGCAGCATGGTACAGAAATAGCACTGGTCACCCTGCAGGATGACCTCCTGAGGGAGGCTGACAGGGGCAACATGTCCTTGTTGGTCTTCCTTGACATCTCAGCGATCTTTGATACCATCGACCATGGTATCCTCCTGGGGCAGCTCTCCGAGCTGAGGATCGATGGCTTCGCTTTGGCATGATTCCGTTCCTTCTTGGGGACCGTCCCCAGAGAGTGCAGCTTGGTGAGATGATTTCCAACCTGTGGATCCTCAATTGTGGGCTTCCGCAGGGGTCGATCATCTCATCAATGCTATTTAATATCTATATGAGGCTGCTGAGTGAGGTCATCTGGAGTTGTGGGGCTTGGTGTCATCAGCATACTGATGACACCCAGCTCTACCTCTCCTTTTTTCCAACTGCAGTGGATGCTGTTCTGTCCCTTGAACGCTGCTTGGGGACTGTTCTGGGGTGGATGAGGGCAAATGGACTGAGGTTAAATCCATAGAAGACAGAAATCTTATGCGTGGGCAGCCCTGGCACCAGTGGATTGGGAAACTGCCTTTCTTTTGGCGTAGTGACTCTTCCCACAAAGAATGAGGTTTGCAGCTTGGTCATCTGTCTGGACCCAGATCTCACTATGGAAACTCAGGTGACATCTGTGGTCCAGGCAGCCCATTTCCCGTCTTCGGAGGATTGCCCAGCTAGTGCCCTATCTAGACATGGGGGCACCCACAACTTTGATTCATGTACTCGTAATCTCAAGAATTGACTACTGCAGTGCTCTCTACATGGGGTTACTCTTGAGGTTGATGCAGAGACTACAACTGGTTCAGAATTCGGAAGCCAGATTAATAACTGAGGTGAAGACATTTCGGCACATCTCCCCCATTCTGGCTGACCTTCATTGGCTACCAGTTCATTTCCACATTGACTTCAAGGTTATGATTACAACATTCAAATCCCTAAATGATTTAGGACCTCGGTACCTAGCAGAACGCCTGCTCCCAGCCAGATCTGTCCATGATACCTGTTCTTCACAGGCAGGGCAGTTGAGGGCCTTGACCCTGAAGGAGACCCGGAGGGAAAGAACAAGAAGCCGGGCCTTCTCGGTGGTTGCCCCCTGCCTATGGAACAATCTGTCCATGGAGATACTCCTGGCATCCTCGTTGAAAACTTGGCCCTACTGTCAGGCTTTCCCTGAGCATTATGTAAGTTGCTGATATCTCTGCTTACCTTTTATCATCCTTTTTGCCATCCTTTGAACCATCTATATAGCCATTTGTTTTAATTTATCCTTCTGGTTGTTGTATCTGTTGAATGTTTGTATTATTTTATCCTTATTGTGTTTTAACATTGTGCTGTTTGTCTTGTTTTTAGTCCCTCAGAGTGGCCTGGTTGCCAGATGATGTGGGGTATACAGTATATCTAATAAATAAATAAATCTAATAAATAAATGAATAGTGGGATCAGGACTAAAGCACATATATCACACGCCATCTTTATGGTTACAAGGGTTAGAGCACATCGTTCTTTTAAGTGTTGGAACTTGAATAGTTCCTTGGCCTGGGACTATCTTTTCCATGTGATATAGTCCCAAGAGACTATCTCATATGGGGCCCTGGGTCGCTTACTCATGCTTGTGGAGGAGGTCTGGAGGGGCCCCAGACCCAGAGGAAGCTCCCTTTGTTCTCGGAACTCTCTGAAGATCATGGTAGATAGACAATAAAACATGTGCTTTGTTTACCCATGTCACTGTGTCCTGCTTCTTCTTTTCTTAATGGGCGTGGATGAAATTTGTGATACCTTCTATTTCAGTGGAACCGCCTATGCAACTATCTCAGCCAAACAGATTTCCTTGTATCATTAACCACTTCCAGTACAATATGTAAATTAGGCATAGAGTGCTGTGCTGAGCAGCACTCTGCTGAACTGGACTCTTTCATTTGATCATGGTCAAGGTGTTCACCGAAAGAGACGTTACCCATGCTGCAGAATGGTAAGTGGTAACGAGAGAGACCTGAGACCTTGTCATGGAGAGAATTGTATGATATGGGATATGCTGACATGGGCTGCTGTGCTCACAAGCTTTTATGCTGAATAATCCTTGTTAATCTTTAAGATGGAAGAAGACTCTGTGTGGGTTTTTGGTACGACAGACCAGCAATGCCCTAGGATTAATTTTGTTTGTCTACTTTGTAATAGTGGCTATAAATATGTGTAGCCAAGTTTTAAATCAACTGAAACAATTGTAAGAATGGACGCACCTGCCTCTGAATGACTTGTTGCCTGGATATTATAAAGATTGGATGAATGGTAAAAATGTAATTAGGTTTGCTTTTGCATTGATATAATGCAGCCTTTCAAAAGTCTTGTGCTTGTGTTGTTTAAAGTGATATATATAGCATTTTATTTTTGTGTTAGCCTAGACCTTAGCAAGATAAATATAAAATTTACAAAGATATAAAAAATCAACATATTAAAATTAAAATAACCTGTGTATATACATCAGAAGCATGTATGTATCTGATGCCAGTTTGTTTATACTTATTCTAATCATAACAAAATTAGATATTTTATTCTACTGATTTATAATATACACCAAAACTGTTGATTCCAAATGGTTTTTTAAGTGCAAAAGTTACACCCACACTTAAATTACCTTCTATTACGCAGTTTACAGACAAGTTAAACTCCATGTAACGCTGTGCATCTAATGCATTTTACACTAGCACCACAATCAGACTAACAAAATCTGTGGATAACAATTGTTCCCCACATAGGATTATTTGATCTCTACTGGTGCTCCTCAAATGTGATAATGCAGATAATAACAGCAATGGGGTGGGGGCAAGAAGAGAAGAAAATAAAGGCTGAAACTCTGGGGCTGAACAATGTGGGTTTAGTATTTCCTGACCAGCAACTGGAACATTTCAGGATGCTTCCTCTTCTTCATAAACTGAACTTTTCAGAAATAAGAAATAAAACACGAACCATACAGACCTTTCTTGTCCTCTGCACACAAAACTCTCTGAGCCAGATGAGCTACGTATATTAAAAGGATCTGAAAGGTGAGGAGCTTGTGTGCAGAAGCTAAGTGCTATGTTGACATGTGCTGTATAAAGACGGCTTTCAGCTGTTGCTGTTGTTTTCTTGATTGCAGAAATGTACTGATTTTTTAAATCCATCATTTCAACATATTCAAAACAAACAGTGGTTAGTATCCTGGATCCTTAAGTGCAAAGAGAAAAGGAAATCACATGATTTTTCCAAGCTTCCCTTTCATGGCCAATTGTGTGTCTGAGCTTGCAACCAGTACAATTAGTACAAGAACAGGCAACAAGGAGTCTGCTGGATCGGGGAGGGAGACACTGTTGCCTGAATGTAGAGCAATTTCCTTCTGCTCTACATTTAGGCAACAGGGTACTAACCCTTGTGTGTAGACTCTATTCAGGTGTGTGTGTACATTGGGAGAGTTACTAGGATTTGCCTAATCAAGCACTTCTTGCATTTCTTTGGCCGACTGTTTAACCTACTGCTATTATAAACTCTAAAAAATACCTTCTCAATAATGCACAGACCTTGTCTTGGATTAGTCATATTTATTATGTGCACTTACCTGGATAGAAGTGCCAATATTGTCAAAGGGGCTTAATTAATTAATTAATTCTTCAAAAAACACTCTAGTTTATGAATGTGTGGTACTGTGTTTCTGCACGCAGAATTCAAAAAGCCAAGAATTGGCCCAATATTGCTGCACAATATTGTGCCCGCACTGGCATCAGGAAAAAGGATGCCAAGCTTTACATAGCAAAGGACAGCCTGAATACTGACAATACCAGTGACAGCAGTCAAGATGGCCTACACAAGATACCCTCTTCTGCTCACTACCATTCATACCTCTTAAAAAACAGCCCTGACAATTGCTTTGTGTTTGAGTGAGAAGTGGGTAACTAATGAAAAATGGAGACCGCTTCTGGAGTTTTCCCCTGCGTGAGAATGGTAGTGAGCAGAAAAGGGTATCCTATAGACCAGAGGTCGTCAAACCCCGGTCCGCAGCCTGGTGCCGGTCTGTGACCTCCCATGCCCCACCGCATGCACTCCCCTCCCCACAGTTGCTTTGCACATGCACATGCATGCCAGCACTGGTGTGAGCGCTCCCCCACCCACCCAAGTGCCTGTGTAAATAGGTGGGCATGCCCACGCGAGGGCATTCAGGCGCTCCTGTGCATGAGCGAAGGGGTGGGGGAGCACTCACGCTGGCGCTGGCACGTGCACATGTGCTCCCCCACTGCTTTACTCATGTGCCCGAGAGTGTGCACGTGAGTGTGTGAGGGTGCCTCACCTTCCTCAGAGACTCAGCCGGTCCGTGGTCCCAAAAAGATTGGGGACCGCTACTACAGACCATCTTCACTGCTGTCATTAGTGTTGTCAACATTCATCATGACAATGCCCACATAAGATTTCCTGGGTGAATAAAAAATGGAAGGTTCTCTTTTGATCTCTCTTAACAAACTAATTCTAGCAAAGTTTGTCTCTATTGGGGGCAGATCATATGCAAAGTTAATGTGTCTTAATTACCTAATTAAGATCCACCAACACCACCATACCTTTCCTGATGACAGGGATAGCTTACAACATCATATTACTCCTGGAAAAATTCACCTCTCCAGCCCCTAACTCCTATGAAGATTATTGGAGACCAGGAAGTCAAAGAGGGTTAGCAGGCAATGCGATCATATCATCAAATTATGTTAGGTCTCAAGTCCTTACAGTGATATTTCAAACATGCACAGGAATGCACTGATTGAATTCTTGATAGACCAGTGTTAAATCTGCAGGATCATCACCACCATCTTTTCAAAGGACAACTGTCAGGAGACAGTAACATGATTCTTAGTAAGTGATAGTGAAATAAAAACTGTGTTTTCCAAATGACAGTTTGTAATCTAAGTTTGTTGGCACTGATATTACTCAGGAGAAACATTTTTTTCCGCACATTGTAAAGAGATCACCTCTTCTCATAACAAACACATACCCTCAAAATCAAGTTTATTTTGGCTATTTTGATCAGCCTTTAGAAAAAGCTAGTTGATTTTTTTTAAAGAAATGTGTTTTATGGACTACTAGGAGCTGCAAGTATATGCCGGAAGTTTATTTCTCATTTGGGTGTAACTGTAACATGATGATAATCCTATTTGTAATACAATCGGTAAACTGATTAGTGCAGGAAGTGCAATATATGTTTTTATTGCTGACATAAGTTTTTATATTTCCAGGATATCAGTGATTCCAGAGAATGTGACAGCATGTCCAAGTCTCTTGAAATGTATTACCTTTCCACCATGTATACTTTTGAGTTCATACTTGGCATCATCGGCAATGGTATTGTTGTTTTTGGCTACATCTTCTGCCTCAAAACCTGGAGAAGTGGCAATATCTACCTGTTCAACCTGACGCTGTCAGATTTTGCATTCCTGTGCACTCTTCCTCAGCTTGTGTCAAGGTACTCAAAAGGTATGTCATCCCATGAGAACACCTGGTGCCAAATCAATCGATTTCTTTTGCATGGCAACTTGTACACAAGTATCCTTTTCCTTACTTTAATTAGCATTGACCGATACCTGCTCATGATGTATCCATTAAGAAATCACTTCTTACAAAAGAGAAGCATGGCCCTTGTTCTCTCCATCGTTATATGGGTCTTGGTTACCGTGGAACTGTCACCCATGTTCATCTTCATTGGAACTCAGAACACAACAGAGAGTGATCAATGTATGGATTATGCAAGTTCAGGAGATGCAGTCCAAAGCCTTATCTACAGTATGAGTTTGACAGTCATTGGTTTTATCATTCCCTTGTGCGCCATGTGGATTTTTTACATGAAGACTCACACTTTCCTTAAGAGCCACAGATCCCAGTTTGCTGGTGCCCTGACACTTGAGAAGCCCCTCACTTTAATCGTTATGGCTGTGACGATCTTTTCACTGCTCTTTACTCCCTACCACATCATGCGCAATGTTAGGATTGCCTCTCGAATAAAATTCTGGACAGTCTCCCCATGCACAAGCGATCTTATCAAAGCGGTCTACATTCTTACAAGGCCGGTTGCCTTTTCGAACAGCGTAATTAACCCCATCTTTTATTTCTTAATGGGAGATCACTTCAGGGAAATGCTGATGAATAAAGTGAGGCACTTCTTTAAGTGGTTCACAACTTGCTGCAGATTTAACTTTTGGACTGATAGAACACAAAGGAGGCTGAACAGCACTGATTTGTACGTTCTTCAGTAGAACCTTTCTACGGAAGCTTTGAATTTCCCAGGTTTCGTAGCAATCTGTATGTGGATAACAACAGTTGCTATGGCTTCCTTCAAGTATCTGAACTCATGTGCAAAAAACAATTTTGTGGATTAAATTAAAGAGGAGAACTTGCTCCTTCTCATGCATAAAACAAGCTATGGGGGGCCCACTCCGAATGTCACTTGATTCATCTCATTAGTGAAATTTGTAAGGGGAGTTTAAATTTCTTAGATATTCTGCGGCAGTATGTTTGTCTTCTTCGGATTTATAGAGCTCAGATTGTATATGTAACTTAAGGCAGTCATATGCCACCATGAGCAAGAACAGAAGCACTATCCCACTCTGTTCTCTGCATGAATGCCTTTGTGAGCACACAACCCATAAAGAGTCTTGGTTCTGCCCTTCAATCATTTCCACTTTGGTTCTGAAGAGACACTGGGAATCAATAACACAGGGCTGGTTTTAACACTGGGGAGGGTGAGGATGTCAGCTCAGGCGGCAAATACTGGGCTTCACAGAGCAGTGGCAAGTAGTGGAGACACAGCCATACATGTGATATGCAGTCTGCTTTGTGCCCCATAAACTACTTTGTTGTCATCAGTTGCACTGGAGGATGTTGTCCTGTCACCAGTGTTAAAATGAAACTGAAGTACAATGGTGCCTCGCTAGACAGTTACGCCGCGTGATAGTTTTTTCGCTAGACATTGACTTTTTCCGATCGCTATAGCAATTCACATAACAGTGATTCCTATGGGGGAATTTCGCTGGACAATGTTTGGTCCCTGCTTCACAAACCGATTTTCGCTAGACAACGATTTTGACAGCTCCCTCCGCGCTTGCAAAACGGGTGTTTTCGGGACCTAAGCTTCGCAAGACAGCTATTTAAACAGCTGATCGACAGTTCACAAAGCGGCTTTCCTATGGCCAATCTTCGGTAGACAACAACGATTCTTCCCCATTGGAATGCATTAAACAGGTTTCAATGCATTCCAATAGAGAAATGCTTTTCGCTAGACAATGATTTCGCTAAACAGCGATTTCAGTGGAATGGATTATCATCGTCTAGCAAGGCACCACTGTGTTCAGTCCACCTTTTGTATGTGGAATGAGGGGCTTTCTCTTTTGCGTTGCTCAGGCTGCCCAGGTAGCAAGGTGGCTTGGGATGAGTTATATTAGGGTTAATAAGCCAGAAAAGATAAAGTACTGTACTCTTAGCTTACTATTTATCAGACCATGGAGGCCTCATTCCCTTTGTTCTTGGGTCTGTGCTGCACCTTAAAGGTTAGGCTCATTCCTCATAGCTTGGTTTTGCTAGCTGAGATACTGGGAGCACAAATGGTATCTGAAACTCCAAACTTGTTCCTCAGTGCCTATTGGTGTGCCACAGCATTCTTTCCTGGAAGTAATCTTGCACAATTATCCACATTTCAGGAGCATTTAGACTGGATCACTGGAATACATGATATGAAGGACTGCCACCAGTTGAGAAACTTTAGCTGGTGCAGAATAATATTAGACTGGATCGCTGGAATACATGATATGAAGGACCGCCACCAAAAAGTGTTGAGAAACTTTAGCTGGTGCAGAATAATGGCTGCTTGTTAGTTCATTCCATGTTTTAAACTTTTATAGCTCTGGAAGAGTGTGCAATATTGACAATGAAAAAACTGCCTTCTCTGTCAGAAAACTGTTGGAACCTTCTTTTGAGAACTGTTTGGAAATGAGGCAAATGGCTGTTGGAAAAAGGAACTTTATTTGTGGTGGCACACCACTTCTGCAGGATAGTTTGTGGCCATGTCTACCAAGTGTGGTATACTACTGTGTTTTAGAAGGCAACATGCTCCTTCTCTTTTCCCAAATTGAAAGAGTATTCAAAATCCTCACTACGACTGATTTTAATTGTTGTTTTATGTGATTTTGTTTTATACTTCTTGACTGTTCTCCAAATGTTCAGTGATCACACATAAGCTGGCTCAGTGGGGTACTTGTTACAGGTATCCAGGTACTTGGTCTGCCTGTCCTGTGGTATCTTCCCTGAAACACTCTGAAGGACTAAAATTTGTGGTCTTATTTATTGGTTTTGTATGCTGTCTTGCACTTTTTGGTATGTAGATGGAGTAAATATTCTTCACTAGATAATCTTGAGAACCTGCTTCCTTCTGCTCATATACGACTGTTTGGCTTTTGGCTTTTGCTGATGGAACAAAGCAAACATAACCCCAATGCTCCTGTGAAGATATCTGAGACTTGAGAAGCTGTTTTCTGCATCCTCCTGAGATTGTGATGAGGCTATTTTCCTCTTCACTAAATATATAAAAAATACTGTAGACCTAGAAATAGGATTCATGTATTTATTAACAATCTAGGCTCCAAATGCATTGTGCTGCAAAGGTAAGATTGTATAAAATCAGATTATAAGCATCGTGTCCGATAGATTTAAAATCAGGAGACAGAAATTTGTCCTATCTACAGCCTGCCTCCTACTTTTTGCCTACAATGTTTAGGTCAAATGTCAGCAAATCCCCAAAGTGGTTTTGGAGAATGTGTTTTGTTGATGTCTAACTTTCTGTATTCAATGCCAAATGAAGTACCTGACAACATAAGGGGCCTGTCAAGGTCCTAAACTCATAGTAGGGGAACATAAATAGTAGCTCATTCATTGTTTAGGTGACTCCCTTGCTCCTTCCCATTGACCGGGCCCACAGGGGCACTAACAGGTTCTACAAATCCGCTTGCCAGTGAAACAATGCAGCACAAGATCTATCTTGCGTTCCCAGTTTGATAGATCATTATTTACTAAGCAGGTTCTTCACATGTCCCTAGATGACCTAGCTTATTTGATCAGCCATCCAAATCAGAAGGACTCTTGTCACAGTCCCAGACCAAGATAGGTATCCTGATCATCTCCATTCTGTTTTCACTATCACCCCAGATAGTATACAT